TCTTCAACAATATATACTATTTTTAAGTTTCAACACAATTATTGTAAATAAAAATAAAAAATAAATATAGAAATTATAAATTCACAGAATTGTTAACTTATGTGTGCGATAAAAATTCCGCATGGAATATTCAAAATTAAATTCCCTCTCGGACGTTTTAATGACCTATAATCACAATAATAATTCATTGAATTTATAATATACTATACAAGCAATTATTTTATTGTAATAAATTTATGTTTTAATGTAGGTCACGTGTTCATAAATTGTGTAATAGTAAAATTATTCATAGTTTTTTAATATAAAAACTTGGATATTATTCTTTGATATATTGTAATTCTTTCCTTTTTTTTTTCATATTGAAAAAACTCTCTAATTTACCTCGTACATATTTAATTCTTAGAAAATTTTACTCACTCTCTCTCTCTTTATATATATATATATTTCTGGAAAGATAAATTTGATTGTTAACTTGTTATTATTAACTCATTTATTTATTCTACAAATCGTTGAATTTATTAAATGCGAAGAAGATATAGGTTTGCTCACTTTGTGTTTATAATAAAATCTTTATTTTAACAAAACATGATTGATTTTTTAATGGAAATTCGACAATAAAATCGTATCTTGTCGAAATTATAGCACTAAGTCTTACCGATTGTTTTTTATGTAAAACATTTATTTCATTTTATATTTTTTAACATTTATTTATTGTTGTTTTTATTTATTTTTCGTCAACACGAGAGGATTTTTTTTTTTAAATACAAAATTATATGGTTTGATAAACGTATGTATTGGTTTTAAGCTAATTTAAAACAAATAATTGGCTTTTTATTTTATTTACTCCAGCTCAGGTTTTTTTTTTTCACAAGAATTATGTTTTCATTTATCCTGAAAATAAGTAGGAATGTATGGCAAGTTGTTTTGTTACAAAAATATTTTTTCTTTTTATAATTATTTTAATATTTTTATTAATTTACTTCTTTATTTTTAAATTATATTTTAGCCTGTATATATCAGGTAGATATACGCTTGTAGGCATAATGCGCATTGTCTCAGATCGTATTACTATTTTTAAATAAAAAATATATATCGAGAAAAGTGATTTAGTATTCTTTATAAAATTAAGTTTTTTCTAAAATTGTAGGCCTGCGTGTGATATCGGCCCGCGGTGTGACATAAATTCTGTCGGAATCCGAGAGGGGTGACTGCACTCCGGGTCCTACCCACTTTTCCACTATTGGAAAGGATAAAGCTCTTTTATTTCTTCTTTTTTTTTTTCTTTTCTCTCTCTCTCTCTCTCTCACTCCATCCTCTTAAAGCTGTTACAACATTTTTTCCTGTTAGGAGCCGGACTCGGAGGTTTCTTGCATTAATTTAATTCTTACTCATGAGGCAACTCATAAATTTGAGTCAGTTTAGAGTTTTTTTGTGCCACCCCCGCAGACGGTAAAAAAGGAAGAAAGAGAGATAGAGAGAGAAAGAGAGAGGGAGTGAGAGAAGAGAAGGCGGCCTCGTTAAGGGGCGATTCAGATCGGGCCGACAATGGGCTGAGAGCTGGAGATCGCCGCGGGGAGCGCTGGGGTAGGCTCCCACCGCCTTCTTGATTTGAATATGTCCCCCCGCGATAGAGTGGAGGAGCTCTCCTCAGGATGATATATATCTCGCTGGAGTCCCGCTCCAGCGGTTTAAGTCGGCTCCAAGTTATCTCCAAAGCCTTTTTCTGAATATAGTTCAAAAATATTTAAGCAGGATTTATTGTAAGCTTCCCCCCCCTCTCTCTCTCTCTCTCTCTCTCTCTCTCTCTCTCTCTCTCTCTCTCTCTCTCTCTCTCTCTCCTCCTCTTTATAACGGTACGCTACAATTTTAGAAACTTGCGGCTTTTATGCTGGATCCAGACGTTTGCGAATACTTATCAACGCAAGAACTTTGGATCATATCGTGAAAGGCAAGCGTGTGGATCTAGCTTGAAGTCGTAAAGCTTGTAGATATCCTGTATGAAGAGTCAAATAAAGTTATTGAAGGAAGTTGACTGTTCTACTTATAATAGGTGATAGATAGTCAGGAAGCAGTCATTTTTGAGATTTGTTATTGTTACCGACGTTTCAATCCAAGATTACTGGATCGAGCACCTGAATGCCTTCAGTGCTTGGAACACACCTTGGTGATGACCCACGTGGTTGGGTTGACACGTCGGCACAAGTAAAAACCTTAAAAATAACTGCGTTCTGACTATTTATCACATATGGTAAAATTGGGTTGTAATTGATGTCATAAGATAGCAAATTAATTAAGTTACTATACATAACGTTGGCAATATATTATACATTATTGTTGTAATATTTGTGTAATTTGTATTAATAACAAGCCATAATAAGTGGGATCTGGCTTTCTATAATACAATCTTCCCATCTACATCTCAGTATCGTTGGTTACCTTTTTTCTGATTATGCATTTTTTTAAGGTTAGGTTTATATTATATTATATATACACATACAAACAGTAAATAGAAATATTTACCTTTAAGCTTGGCTACACAATATAACTGTCATTTATGATATTTTTATTATGCCTTTGTATTAAACTTTTGATAATTATAGATTTGATATTCTTATTCTATCGAAACTATTCATACTTTTTAATCAAACATAGTTTATTTTCCGAAAATAGGTTATTTTAAAAATGAATGCAAATGACGTAATGAAATATAATTGTGAAACAATATTTATTATTGTTTTTTTTATATCGTTATGGGTACCAAAACGCACCATTCATCATTTAGAAATGCATTTTTATTTTATTTTTGTTAAGAAGCTTGAATTCTATTGTATACTGTTCGCTACATAGCTTCAAGAGAAGAAATTAGTTGTGGATTTGGTTTGGAAACCTTAATCTGCCATAGACATGACCCAATCTTAGTCATTATCATGGGCTGATTATTGTTGGTATAAAATAAATCAAATTTTTCGATGGAAGGTATTTCGAAATTGACTTATTCTTCAAGTATTATCATTATACTTCTAATATTTATTGATGCTATGGAGGCAATATAGAAGCTTTTTTTTTTTTTTAATCAAAGTAATTGTACTTGTTTATATCCATGTATCTATTTACGTTCTTACGTACGTATACATTCCTCCTCGAGGTGATGGCTGCCCTTAAAGATTACATTAGCTATGTTCGACGACAGGACCTATCAGCTATAAGCAGCCCAGAGCTATCAACCTGTTGAGCAGCGATAGACGGTGATCCGTTGAGACGGGACGATATGTTGAGAAGATTTTAAAGCTAGGTGACGTGGCTAAGTGGCAGCGGTTGACATCCACCCCGGGGCAGGTAGCCAGCAGCCCCCTTCCCCCCCCCCCCCTGGCTCATTGTCAAAGGGCAACTCTTTGTTAGCGGGGGGTAGCTTGCCTCTTTTTTTTTTTCCGCTCCCCATTCTCCCCCATGGCCGGGGTGGCTTGACTTATGCCCCACCGTATCAAACTAACAGTCAAATCTTCAAAGCGTCACCGCCCGTCCTCCCGGATCATATCCACGTCGGATTCTCAGGGTGGCAACTTTAGTACCTGCCTATCATAATGAACCATATAAAAAATCACGAGGCGTGTTAAAGGATCTCTAGTTCTTTCTATTCTGAATTGTGACTGTTGTGATTTGTGAACGTTTTTTTTCTTTTTTAAAGTATTCTTTTTAGTTATATTTCAAGTTAAAAACTCTTGTCTCTAAATAAGGTATAAGTCCCGTTTATACATTTCACTATGAGAAACACGAACGTGTTAATGGGAGGATATTTATCTAGGCTTGTGTTGGTGCCCTTAGACTATTTACATTTTGTGTACTGTTAGTGTTGCGTGAGAGATGTTGAATTTAATGATTGCTGATAGAATTTAAACAAATATTCATTATCCGTCATTTGTTAAATTTTGCGTCTCCTTCATTTTATTTTGCTTCTTTATAAAATTACAATAGTTTAGGATTAATTCGATTCCCAACATCCGCCATATTAGTTTTATTAGAAATATAGAAACGTGTAAAACACTTTTTTTTTTTTTTTTCTTGCGTCGGTTTGAGTTTTTGGTGTTTGGAAAATGTGTAAATCCATCTTTAAGGTTTGGGAATATATTTCTTGATATCTTCAGCACTTGTCACTAGTTGGGTCACCTGGGTATCCATCAGAAACATCTTAAAAGCCAAATGGACATCAACTGCTCTCATTTTTACGATCTGTTAACTATTAAACCGTTGGACAGTTTTTTTGTTTGTGCTTAGTTTTTCAGTCCCCGTAGTTGTTAATTAAATAAACCTTAAATTTTGATATGGAATTCCGTTATGGAAGAATTTTAATGTTATTCTGCTGATTTAAGAGGATCATATTAAGTTTATTACCTGCTAATAATTTGTCCAAATTCCGCAATACTTCTAGCTTTCCAATTCACACTTATTGCATTGATGAATAATATTTTATTTTTTAAACAGTTTAAAAAAACAAACAGGAAAATTCTAAATGTAAAAAATGATTCGCTTTCCAATTCATGAACCTCGTATTTTATAACAAATTTCTTTTTGCACATGGTTAAATGTATATTAAATAGTTTTGAAATAATATATCATGGTACCTTGTACACTGTCATTTAGTTTTTCTAATATCGTTACTATTTCTTTCTTCGATTATACTATTTATCGTATCTATTTTTTATTACTTCACGGGAGATATGGTCTACTTTGTCGGAGATTTTACAATAATTAATAAGTTTTAGTCAAGTTAATTGGTGGATGCAGAATCGTATCGCGTGATGGTAAGGTTTTGAACCCGTAGGCATGTGGATGGAACAGAAATATCAATTGAGACTGGATTCGGACGAGGCCGACAAAACGGAGCGTGCGTGAGCTCCGGAGTGATTAATTTTCTCATTTGGATGCAAATTCTCCTCTATCTGCATCTCAGGTATCTTACTCTAATTTAGATTACGGCTTGTATTTTTCTTTTTATGGTCGAATTAACGGTGTAGCAGTGGCGGTGGACGTTTCCTGTTTCGATTTCGGTGGTACGTGTGTTTCTTCCCTGTCCTAATCTTATTTCCCTCATCTGTGGCTAACCTTTGACCACCGTCAAGATATGGGGTACCTCTGTTGGTTATCATAACAGCTGCAAGGAGATTCTTCATTAACCCGCTCGGCCAACATGAGGACTAATAGCTTTCTAGTGCGGATTCGAGCCTCACTAACATTCCTCACGTCGTCATCCTTATTTAGCAGTTAAAGGGTAGAGAGGGGAGGTGTAGTCGCATTCCTGACTTTTGTAAGTTGATAAGGTTTGCTGGATATAAAAAAAAATATATATGGGACTCAAAAACGGTGATTATAACCTTTTCATCCAAATATTTACTTACATTCAACACAGTACTGAGGGATAGTACTGTTGTGACTAGTGCTAAAACCAGTGGAGATTGAGCGAGAGCGCTTTAGCAACATACATCCATGCCTTCAGTCTACAAACTACAAACTACAAGGACGCGGAGCCACTGCCGTTTTAACCTTGTAAAAGGATTATAGGGATGAGTGTTGCTAGATAAGGATTGAGCTAAGAGATTTGGATAACACGTAAGGTATTGGTGAAATTTGCAGATGGCGTAGCCTCCACTCCTCAGCATGTCAAAATAACAACGTTATATAGAATGATGGTAGCAAATGGGTATTCGTGAGTTTTTAATACCGCGTTAAATTATTTAATTTAAAAAGAAAATGATCAATTTCTAATAATTTTTGTAGATATAAAAGTTGTAGGTTACGATAAGATGGACTTTCATTAAAGAAGTTCTAGAGATGTTAATAATTGTATAAATAGGGGTCTGTAGACTTTAGTTCGTGTATGTTATGGTAAATCATTTATTATAAACAATAAAAAAATCTGTACCACTACAACCCATGAAGGGTCTTGGGTTCAGTACTATTTAGGGAAATCACTGTTTCTTAGTCAACTGTTGTACACAGAGGTGATTTGACCGAGATCACGGCTCAACCGCTAGGTTTTCCTCCTTAATTAATTATTTAATTAAGGGTACTCACTTTATGGAGACTATGTGTGCCCCCAGGAGGTTTTTTCTTACGCAGTGTCGCACTACGACCGATGAAACAGAATAAATAATTTTTCTGCCAAGAGCCTGGATTCCAACCTTGGACCTTAGCATTTGGAGCTCACTATCCGACCACTGAGCTACCCCACTCCAAAATTATTTATCATGTCTTTTAAAATCTCCCAGGTAGACAGTGAATTAGACTCAGCCATCCTACGAAGTAACTCTTATAGGTCGGACGCCTTTGATTATTTCAAAAAAGTTATGGATCCTATTCGAGCCATTTTTGGAATTTGGGACCCGACTCGACCTAACCCATCTCACAAGCTCCTGATAAATTGTTTATAATTAATTTATGTCAATTTCTCTCCTGATTAGGATTAATTAACTACGTATACGCTACCCTCCTAAAACCCTAGTTTCTGTCATGGTCGCTGCCTGTTATATTTAGGCCGTTAGTTTTGCGGACAGTTAGACAGCCCTATGTGCCTACTATATTTAGGTCATTCGATTAATTTGCGTAGAGTTAACTATGATCGATATCCAGCTGCGAAGGGATGCTATATTAATGCTGTTTACTGGTAACTATGAGGACGGGCTCTGTACCATACAGTACAGAGGTTCATTACCTCCCTCCGCACAGTTCTCACCTCAGCGGAATAATATTTCATGTTTTATGTAAATAGCCGTTGGCATTAATTCAATCTGCCACGTATGGTTGTCCCTTGGATCCGCACCGTTTTCCGTTCCTGGGAAATTTAAATATGTCACATGGCGTCATTAATATGACATTCTCTTAAACATGCAGTCCCGATATCAATATTGAATTAGTTAATTTAGTAACTATTCAGAACAATTTACTGCTATTTATATTTTTTTGTATTAATGCCTGTAACATAATTTTTGATAATTGATATTTTGTAGCATTTTTATTTTTTCGGAAAATCGTAGTTTTAAGCCATGTAATGTATTGTGAATTGTACGATTGTATGAAATTGTAGGAACGCTATTTCGGTCTGATGGTAGTTTGCGTTCTTTCTTTTTCTTTTCCATGCGGGTCGATACAATCAAATATGAAGTATAATAGGAACACGACTTCTCTGTTACATAAGATGGCGGGATTAGAAACGAGCTCTGAGCCTCGAGGCCGACGTCGAACCTGGACAGGTCGGTGATGGAGCAGAAGTTGTTCGGCCAAGAGATAAGGCCCTCTGGAGGGAGATCGTGGCCCGGAGGAGGAGGGTAAAACAAGAAAAAGAACAATACTCTTGTGCCTCACTATCCGATAGAACTAATACCAGCTCTCCTATCCTTGTCTTTCATCTCCTTCTTATCTATATTCTGTCAGCTCCTCGCTCAGGCTCTCTTCTAATAGCTTTCATATTCTCTGGGATATATCTAGTATATATATAATATCAATGTAATCGGAGCAATATCAAGTATAGGTTAGTCACGGTAGTAATGCAGGCAGGAGCGTACTTTCAACACCTTGTACTTTGAAACCTTATTATTTCAATAGCTAAATCTAATTCTATTATATCATTCTTAACATCCCATATATCCTCAACAGCATCCTAATCCTCTAACTCAATCCATATCTTCGGCCAACCCTGTAATCCTACTCGAAGGTTAAAACGGCAGTGGCCGCTAGACATTTTGTAAATATAGTTTTTAATTTCTGGTAATGGCCAACTCAAATCCTAGGTGTCTGCGGCTCCATTGCCCTCTTTCAGTGTCCAGTGACTTCTAATACCAAGGACGCGGCTGGAAGTACACTGGGAACTTCTGGGTTCCGCTTTGTTTCCCACATGTGAAGAACAAAGCTCGGCTCGGAGTTCTCTGGGCGGGTTTATGTATTGTAAATAGGTATAAATCTAATAAGAAGATGACTCTTATTTATTTATTTATTTATATTTATTTTCCTCATGTTTGTATATATTGTATGAATGAATGCCTCTAGCCTTAATACTTGTTGTCCTTCAATGTGGCAGATTGTATTGTCATTCAATAAATTAAATTTTAAAAAACAAAAACTAAATATTTGTTTCTCAGTTACTGAATTATTTAATTTAAGAATGGACGCGTTATTCTATTACCTCCGGCACACTTTATAGGTAATATCAATATCCATTATATTTTCCCAAAACACATGTGGGTAATTCAATTGCGAAATTAGTACTTGGAGTACTAGTAATAATTTATAATCTAGTAATATTTTTATTGTTGAAAACATGAGTGATAAAATAAGTATTAAATGAAAATGAATGCTCATTAATGGAAACAGTTAGTGGTGAAAAATGAGAGACCACATAATGATGAACAGTAATGTTTATGTATAAAATGCTTGTTTAGATTTTATAGCTTGCAATATAGCATTCGATAACGTTTGGTGGTGGTGAAGGTGGTAGAAGTAGCTTTGTTAAATGATTAGATGACCGACACAGAGTAACATTAGGCAAGTATGTGTGTGTGTGTGTGTGTGTGTGTGTGTAAACATTAGAGGAAGAGGGGAGTTGTTAAACTAATCCAATTAACAACTAGCAGCCAATTAAATTGTTTTTGTTTGGAAAAGCTAAAACAAACCTTGGACTTTATTAAACTTTTATCGCGCTAGTAGAGTGGAGTAGTTAGCGACTTGTTGAGCATAAAATTAACGCTCTATAACCAAGGCCCGCCCGACCACCTTCTGTTCCGACAAATTGCAAATAATTACATTTACAATTCATTAAACTCGAATTAAAATGTAACAACATTTACATATTTTGCCTCGCTCTCTCTACTTCATGTACGGCCGATTACTATGCTGGTTGCCCTGGTCTTGGAAAATGTATTTTAATTATTATTTTAAAATGCCAATTATCTCGTATATTTAAAATGCAGCATATTTACATTATTTCCAAGTAATGTATTTTTAATATAAAATAGCTGAAGTAATTTGTATTTTAATTACAAAAAAAAAATATTCTTAAGTCTCATGGGCGGCTTTTAATCATATTTTTACGAGGAAAGAAATTATGAAATTATAAGACAGTGGATATAATTTAAAAAATTAAATAACTGGAGATAGCAATATTTTCTTAAGTATCATATAAATTTAATCTTTCCTTCTTATTTACTTAATAGTACTTGAAAATATTGTTAAAGTAAAAAAGCCATGCTATTGATGTCATCCCAACTTCATGATATTCACCAGTCCAATAAAATACATTTTTTATATTTTATTTTTTATTTACTTGCTTCCCTCATATAAAAATTCTTTACGAAGGCCTTGTATAAGTTAATGTGAACATTAAGCATAATACATGCATCAATTTAATATAATAAAATATAATTTCATTTGTCTTATAAAACTAAAACGATTCTTATAAATTGACATGATAGAAGTTGAAATTGTCTTAATGAAACACATAAAAATGAAAAAAATATATAAGATAAGCATATAGTGCATAAGTATACTGTTTATATACTTTATACTTATTTATAAGTATACAGTTAATAAAATTTAATACCTATCTAAAATATTTCTGCTTGCTGCATTGTGTTGGGAGAGAGGGAGAGGGCTGCAGAGGAGTAAATTTTTATCAGAGTTAATAAGCGTGGAGGAAATTGTTTTATATACCCGGAGGCTTATTAAGTCAAAATTATATTTAATTTCCCTGTGTGAGTTTAAAATTACCCAAGCAAAATATTAAAATTAATGATTAAAAATTAGAAAAAAAAAAGGTAGAAATTCTCTAGCTGTAATTGGGGTATATTATTGGCCGGGATGGAATCGATTACCGCAGCGCCCCCTATAACTGCCAATAAATAACATAATTGCTCCAGTTTGTTTAATAGCCCCCTGTTGGCCGGACTCTCGCTAGAGGGAGGGGGTAATTTTCTAATCATAATGCCGTTCCCTTCTAGTTTTATTTTTACTTTTTTTTTTCCCCTCCCTTCAATACTCGTTTGTAGTCGAGCCTCGTGTTTATTTTCAGCGTCGTCTAGTGATTTTTCATCAAGGTTTGATAGCGGCCCTCATTGAGAACAGTTTATATCGCGCCTTTCGTGAGAACTTATAATGCTAAAGGGATAGTTTGTAGTGATTTGTTTTTAGATTAGGGAGGGCCACCTGTCCAATTTAACTGGTACACGATTGCTTTTTGATTTCTAACCTATGATAATTTTATTATTATTTTTTATTTAAAAAAAATATAATAATGGTAGTCAAGTTCAGTTATAATGAATGTCTTAGTAAATATTGATGGCGTTGATTTTAAATAGACACATTTTCTAAATGTATAGCCAGTGGAGACAGATTCATTAGTGTAATTTAGGCTACAAAAAAGTAGCTTCACTCCTTTTTTTTTTTCTCCCCTACCTTGCCTTTTAGGCTATACGGGGGTTTTCTCGGGCTAGGGGGTGAGGGCCGGAGTTTAATGCCAGAGTTGAAAGACCCCCTGGGCACCGGGACGCGAACTCGTAATTTGTATTGTCCCCAACTTGGGTTATGAGGTGCTGTGCACAGACATTAGCCCGCTCGGCCACTACTCACCTTCTCATATATAGTTGATATGTACATATATGCTAAATCTCACTCTCATAAATTTGAACAAAATATTTCGGTTTTCAGTTTCCCAACTCTTTGACCACCTATCCTCCTATCTGAATCAGCGATCACAATGGCAGTCGGTAACCGTGATGGCTGGAAGACGTCGCTATTATACAATTTTTTAAATAATATCTATAGAGTAATTGATTAAAAATATATATCGCGTTTCTTTAAAAGTAGTCGCATTTTTTTTTTTTTTTTTCAGAAATGATTTATTGATTTACACAACAAGTAAATCTACTAAAGGAATATAAAACATGATAAGTACTTGTGAAGAAGCCATCCATTGATAACATCTCAAAGATTAAATTAATTTAGGATGTTCCTTGGCCATCTTTTGAGATTCAGGAATTGTCTTGGATAAAAAATTATGAACTAGAGAATTGGGTTGACCAAACAGTTTGGAAATAAAAGAAGACCATCGAAGTCGAGGCTATTCTTTCACAAAGGGAATGTTGAAGTGTTCTTGGATAATTTTTTTTGTGGCATAAAAAGGAGATTTAAGATATATGGATTATAAGGTTAGATACGAGAAGAATTCTATAATTTTTTGAAAATCAATTCCGTATGTACTAATGGGCCTGATGATGAAGATAAGAATGAAAAGTAAATTACAAAATTTTACATTCTATTTATAACTAGCCAAATTGCACTTTTATGTTAATGTTCGAATTTATCATATTATAACCATTTTCTCCAAATCAGGATGCACTTATTGATGAAATTTGATGTTCTCTGCCCATTTTTAATTTGACATTTTAAATAATTATTTATTTTATGTAAATTTATATGCAATACTGAGTTTTGCATGTAAAATTTATTCTTTAATGTTTTTAGTTAAAAATATTATAACAATGGAGAATCCAGGAATCAATTAGTATATTTTTTGCCCAATTAAACACCAGTCAAAGAAAACCAAGCAAGCACTTACAAGAATACATCACGGAGTAGTCAACTGGTTTTCATTATTCTTATTACTTCTTAGACTGTTTATATTTTGGTAAATTAGTTATTTCTGGTGGGAGTGCTCAGAAGTAGGTCCATGGCCTTAAAAAGTTGCGCTATCAAAACTTCGGAGGGAGGAGGGCAGATTTCGACGGCTTTATGAGTTTTTTGAGTAAACAGTTTCAAACCAGGAAACAATGGAAATAACATGAACCAGACTACAGCAAGAGTAGTTGTGTATAATCTACGATTTTTGTCAAAATACTTTCGCTTTTACTCTTTTTGAGAAGAGGAGAGCAATACAATTTCTTGGGGAAAGAGGTAGGGAGAGAGAGAGTAGTGTTCATATGCCTTGGACCTTCGGGGAGGGATGGACACATCTGATAGCTATTAGGTTTATTTAATGTGTTTTTTGATAGAAACTTTTTTCCATTATTTCGTTGATACCCTGTAATAATGTAGCTTATTCTCTTCTTACACCCTCCTCTCCTGCCCTCCCGCTCTCCCCGCGCAGTGCCCTCGGAGGGGCCATTCCGCAGAGGACGGCCAAGGATGACTCTATCCCTTCGGCCTGGGATAATGGCCGCCCTGGGAGGAATTAAAGCCCTGCGAGGAGTTAAATCCTGAAGACTATTATAGAGCTGGCTCACTACCCGGGGCTAATAAGCATAAGAAAGGACCGATCGTGGCCCGCCCGGCCAATGAATTATAATCCACTGACAGCCTTCCTCCGGCTAATGGTAATTGACAGTCCTCCGGGGTCGTGATCCGTCGGCGTCGGCTCTCTCAGTCAGCTGTGGTCTAAGGATGGGGGAGGGGAGGGAGTTGGCGAGGATGGCCGTTGTGCTGTGGAACCAGTGTGGAGTAATGGAATGGCAAATCATATCTCAGCAAAAACTAAACTGAAAGCTTATTGAGTAACCTTAAAAAAAAATTACTATTTGGTCCAATTTTCCATGTATTTAATCCGTGTAACAATTTAATGAAATATTACACAGTACTCGTAAAACTTACTTATAAATAACATGATTATAGTTATAAAATTAAGTTCAAATTTTCATAATAAAACACAAACAAAAAAAACATACGATAACTATGATAACCAGTTAATAACTGAAATGCAAGCATACAACTCTTATACAATATTTACAAAATTCATTCCTTCAGTAGAATTCCGAGCCAACCCTTTATCTTCCACTCGTGGAAGCAAAAGCAGGACTCCAGGAGATCCCAGCGCCTCTCGCTCACTGCATTTCTGGAATTAATGACCAGTAGTGGTTGAGCATTGGCTCTAGTATATCAATAAGGAAAAAAAAATTATCTAGGAAAATCAAATATCGCATAAAATTTTATCTATTTGTAAAAATGAACTACGTTTTAAATGAAATTAAATGACGGATGGATTATATTTTATTTAAAAATGTAGTTTACATTTTTGAATTAATGATCACTATCATTATTTCACTTAGAAATAAATTTATCCATATTAAAATAAATTTGTATTGTATACATTAAAGATATTTTGTTATTGCAAATAGCCCGGGGAGCTGGCGTGACTCGGCCGCAATTACCTCCGACCGCTCTCAGCGCTGGAATTAGTCGCTTAGCTCGCTTCACGTTTTTCTCTCGAACATAGCGAGCCAGCCAGCTCCTCTTCTAGTGTCTTAAACCTTTTCTCTTTTTCAAATTATACTTTAACGCGTTATAGCATTGAAGTAAAGTTCTAGGTAGGCCTGGGTTCATGAAAGATAAAAAAACTTTAGCCTAGCAGGGAGAGTATAGCTTCTTCTCTCTAATTCTATTGCTTACAGAATTATAATATAGGTATATTCTAAGCTCTATAATTAGTTTGAGAATAGAATATACAGGAAGTACATTGAAGGGAAATACGTGCGCAAGCGAAAGAAGTTGACTAAATTTGATTAAATCTATATTGCATGCTCTATCTAACCATTAATCAGTAAAATCCCTGTAATTTTTTTCAATCACAATCAGTTTTTGTTATTCCGTGTTATGATTTGTTTTCTATAGCATTTGCTATGTTTTTTTTTTAAATAATAATATATAAATATTTTTAGATACAGATACTGATATATCGTTATTAGATACTTTTAAAATGACTTTTGCGAACCCTCGATTTTTTTAATTGTATTTCCAGAAAGCTGTGATGTACGAGCTGTAACGGCCGCTGGGCCTGTTGATATTTTCACATTGCTAATTTCAACCTAAGGACGGTAAGTATCGGAGACCTCCTCCTCCCCCCCCCCCTATCGAGATAGGCAACTTACTTATCAGTGGCAACTTCTCAATGGGCTGACAGGTCCCGCCATCTTCATTAGAGATAATGAGACTCGTCGAACGGTATCAGGTCGAGGAACACAGAGGCCATCTGTATAGGGGCAATTTTATTAAACATTATTATCATCATCAACTACACCTTTGTTTTAATTTTTCATTCATAGAATCAAAAATTACTTCAGTTAGATTATATATAGTGTTGCACTAAACCGGAATTGTTTTCTTGCATTTCTGCAAGGCCGAGTCTAACCCTGCAAGATCTAAGCAAGAAAAGATTGACCTGCAAGACTCTTAAACTGAAATTTGGGCGTCATTGCTTGTTCTGTTTCAGTATTGATATTGATGGATGTTTTCTATTATCGGTATTCAAACAAGGATTCCTTCCATATAATATCAAAGTTTGTCGTAAGTTTTGTCTAGTTCACGGGTTGCGATTCCTTTTATCATTAAAGTTGGTTTCACTGTTGCTGTTTATATTTATAAGTAAATATACTTACTTCCATATACATATATTCAACTCAATTATATTAATTTCCTGACTTTTCTAGCCTAAATATTTAAATATTAATAATATAATATTAAGCGGGGTAGCTTAGTATTAGAGCATTAAGCTTCTAATGCTCGAGGCCCCAGGTTCGAATTCTGGCTCATGGCAGAAAAATTATTTATTGAGGCCCTCTTGGGGGCACACCCAGCCTCTACAAAGTGGACACACTTAATTAAATAATTGATTAAGAAGGAAACCTGGCGGTTGAGCGTAATCCTGGCCCGATCTCCTTCCTGCACAACCGTTGCCCTTGCAAGGTTTTTTTCTTTTTTAATAATATTAATTATTTCAAGCGCTAGATTGATAAAGATCACACAAAAACGTTTGGGTTTAGTACCTGTGGTCTAGTTAATTTTATTAGACTTTACTATGCCTATGTCAATATAAGCTTAAAATGTACCTGCTTTGTTGTGTTATTTTAAGTTCTAAACTAAAGTGTTTAATTAATAGCTATATGCTAATAGTTAATTACCAGTCTTGCGAGACTTGCTGCAATACCGAGACCAAGACTGGGTAGTACTCTTTTGTGCAACACTGAATCACAAAACATAAAAATCTCTTACCTCTCACATAAGTTTTAATAAAAATTATTGTTATAAACCGTTCGTTCTCATTTATAATTAACATTGAAATATTCTAGGGTAATTGTGTATTGTATTCTAGCCGGTGCCAATTGAAGTATTAAAAGAGTTCAGTGAAGTAGGAAGACCCAGCTGGTCGGCTTTGCATAGCGCCTCGCCCCTCACCCCATGACAGATGGTTTGCAGTGGGCATATAGTACTCTAATACTAATATTACTAACTATAGGTTTAGTAGCTAACTATAGGTGGAGTTATACAATGACTACAGGTTAATGATACATGGGAGCCGATGGATAATGGCCGACTTGAGAGCAATAATTGATAAATCGGTGGAAGGCTGCCACTCTATTCCACCGTGTCAGCTCATCTGATGATGTATCATCTCCAATCGTTGCTAGTTCTGTCCTCAGGCAGGTTGTAACATTTACGTCTATATTCAATCTTTAGTCAAAAAACACGATCATGAAATATTTTAGCGTTACTAAACTCTAAGACGTTTTAGTGCACTGTTGGATCCTCCAGTAGAGTTACTTTCGGGCTGAAGCTTTCATCCCTAAAAAAAAAAGTGAATAAATAAATATAAAATACACAATATGAATAAAATATAAAACTAATTTTCAGGGGTCCATATTTATTTCTGCGAGCGATCTAAGCTGATCACTAAATGTGAGCAAAAGGCAAGAACAATATTTAAAAAATGTAATTTTGAAAGCATTATTTACATTTAATTGAATAACAATTGTCGTTTTTTTTATTTTTCACTTTTATTATTATTATTATTTTTAAATAGGTCCTCAAGAAACACTTCTTATAGTTTCTTTCTTTTTTGTACAAAGTAATAACTGTTATTAAAAAATACATATATATTTACATTTAATACTCTTAGGGTCCACTATTCAATAAGAAAGTACTGTTTGTTCAGCAGATGTTGTGATAAAAGTTATTCTGATGAAAAGATCTACGATTAATTTATGAGATAAAATTTCTGCCAGCAACGGGTTTCGAACTTTGGTCTCGGGGAGTCAAAAGTTAATTAGCCATTATTAATTCTATTATTTATTATCTTGAGAGTTTTGTCTGTATACATAAATTTTACTGTTTATTGAAATACAAATTTATTTTTCTTAACTTATAACGAAATTTATTTTCTATGGATTAACGTTGAAAACACTCAACACATTTAATGTGAAAAATGGCACAATCCCATATTGTAATAATTGTTTAATTTTAAAAGTTTTTATTTCAGAAATATGTAGATTTATCTAGAAATTCCTTTTCATATTCAAAGGTATTGAGAAATAAATCAAATGAGCATTTTAAAAAATATGGAGGTGGTAGCATGTCATTTCGGTTCTTAAAATAACAGTTGTTAAGAGCGCTCGTTTATCACAGCCACTCAGCGGCTCTGCTAAATCGTCGAGGTTTAAAAACAATTGTCCAGGCCTGACCTGAGCTGAGGACGGCTCTCGGTCAAAATAGAAGAAGAAATAATAAAGAAGCCTAAAATTGACTAGGTTTTAGGACCAAATTGTATACAATTAGGAGGAAAAATGCCCTGCAATTTGGGCCGTTTTCCCTTCTCAATGGCCGAGCTGAGAGCTGGCTCCCCATTAGCCTCTTGTATCCTCGGTACCGTGCTAGCATCGAGAGCTCTTATACAGGGGCTTAGGGCTCTTAATTAAATATATTTCGGGGGTTGCTGCAAAGGATCTGACAGGATAATACTCTGTCAACACCTACTCGAGGATCTAACGGTGGAACTCATCAAAATTGACATTCACTAAACCAATCATGCTCAACATTAAGTATTTTTTGTTCTCAGATCTCGCTTATTTTTTTCCATTTTAGCAATCAAGAAACAAAATCGGTTTCGTTACCATAACCTGTTACTGTTGTTCCAAATTTAATAAAACTTTCCGGGATTTTGCTGAATTAATTATTATTATTAAATTAGTACCTAGCTGACTCCATTTCAGTTTCATCTATTACTTTCCTCTGATCAGCTAAATATATTTTTAACATGCCTATATTTCAGTAAAGGCTTGTTCGATTTGCCTCTCTGTTGGATACGGTCAAACGTATTTTCTCGGTACCGATCTACCCCAAAAAGTGTAAGTTCTATTTGGGCCAAAATTCGTAGAGAGTTAGGGATTGATGAAAACCGATTTTATCAAATTCCATCCAATCCCTCCTAAAATTCTTTCGCTTAAGGTTACGCAAAAGTATTTTATTAAATACACCTGTCTTAAAAATTGACTCATTCAATTTGGATCTTATTAGTTTTGGGGCATAATTAGGGGTTTGTGAAAAGTTGTAGGTAGTGAATATATTGAAAGAGAGGTTATATTTATACTGTACCTATAATATTCCTATAAAATTATAGAATGTCCATACTCTTGTCCTATCTGTATGATGGCCATATTACCATTTGTCATTAATGTGATTTGGTGTCATTTTT